TTGCTCCCTACCAAGAGGCTACCTCTGAGTAGGTAAAGTCACAGGATTTGCCATGGAGGTGGCATGGTATGGCTGGAGAAGCCCAGGCCTCAGAGGTAAATAAACTTCAGTTTAAATCATGACTCAGTTACATCCCAGATGTGTGATGTTAAACAAATCACTATTACCTCTCCCAGCCTCAGTTTCCTTATCTATAAGATGTTAATATTTTCCTTTAAGAGGTGTTATGATAATAATGTTTAACATGGTGCCAGCTCATGAATGCTCGCCCTTTTTCAGACTGGGGCTCAGCCTGGCAGCAGAGACCAAGTGGCAGGAGTTGGGGATCTTGAACATCCATGGCCTCACTCATTTACCAGCGGGTCCAGAGATCCTAAACCCCTTACAACCAACTCTCAGACGTACCACACCCTAGTCAGCACAAAAAGCTAGGATCATTCAATTGTGTTCAGCAAATAGGAATGCTCCAGAGGTTTGAATCCAAAAGGGGGGGCTGCCAGGTAGTGCATACATGGTGCGCTTTCAGAGAAGGCCTCTTAAGAGCTGTCGAGCCCACGCTGATCACCTTTGTGAAATGTGGGCCGACTGATAACTCAAAGAGCCCTGGGATGAGTTAGTTTCTGTTGCCGTGGGAACTCCAGATCTCACTGCATTGTCAAGTCTCAGCAGAGAGGCTGTATTCACACTACTGGGCACTGATTAAAAACTGGAAGAAAAACATTCTCAGCGCCCTGCCGGCTTGTACAGTGAGGTCCCAGCAGTTTGCAAATTCAAAGCTGGGCTCCCGAGTGGAATTGTGTAGCTTGTTTCTCATTCTCTGGCACTTATAGCCCCCCAGGGTTCTTCAAGGCCTTTAGAGGCTTGGGCAAGAGCTGGAAACCATAACCTCCATTACACAGACAGGGAAACTGAGGGCGGCCGCCTCGCTTAGCACATACTCAGGCGCTGTGACTGCGAAGAAGGCAACGGGCCCTTAAGTCGAAGACCCAGGCAAGCAAGGAGCTGCAGGCTCGA